AAAAAAATTTTTTTCAGGACCAGATGGATTCTCAGCCAACTTTTACCAGATTTAAAAAGAAGAAATTATGTTAATCTCCCTTAAATTAGTCCAGGAAATAGAAAAGAGGATTTAACACTCTCAAATTCATGTTATGAAGCCCGTGTCACCTGATGCCTAAGCCAAACAAAGACAGCAAGGAGAGAAAACTTCAGAACAATATTGCTTATTAACACAATATCCTTAATAAAATATATCCCTGATGAAAAAATCCTAAACACAACATTAGCAACCTGTATTCAGAAGCATATTAAGAGGAGCTGGGGTTGAGGCTCAGTGGCAGAGCATTTGCCTTGCATGTATGAGGAACTGGGTTCGATCCGATCCTCAGCACCACATAAAAATAAATAAATAAAGGTATTAAAAAACTAAAACACATTAGGAGGACCATACCACATAGACAAGAGGATTGTATCTCAGGGATGCAAGGTGGTTCAATATACACAAATCAGCAAATGTAATGCACCACATAAATAGAATTAAAAACAGGAAGGAAATAAGCATCTCAATATAGGCAGAAAAAAAGCCTTGAACAAAATCCAGCACCTGTTCAAATTGAAAACCCTGAGAAACTAGGGTTAGAAGGAGCTCACCTCAAAAACATGAAGGTGATTTGTGACAAATCCAAGATCAACATACTAAATGAAGAAAAGCTGAAACATTTTCTCTAAAATCACAAATAAGACAAGGATGTTCACTTTCACCACTCCTATTCAATATAATTCTCGAAGTTCTATGCAGAGAAAATATCAAGAGAAGGAAATAAAAAAGATACAATGTTGAGAGCCACAACCAAGTCAAGATAGTGCCTGTCATTTTGCCAGAAGGAGTGGTTGAGAAGTGATGCCAGAGAGCCATTAAGATGATGATAATTAAGTTAAGCTGTGTATATTTATTAAGATAACGAATGATTGCTGTAACTGGATGATGCTAAATTGAGACAAGCTGTGTATTCATTTGTGTATATAAACCTCTGCTGTCCAGCAATAAGGCGGCTCCTGCTACCTTGAGTGCCCACTACTTTTGAGTTCTCCTTGAGTTCTCGAGGAGTTCCCATTGAGTTCCCATTGGGTCTCATGGAGTTTCGGGTTGAGTTCCAGTTGTGTTCCCGTGGGGTTCGGGCAATAAAGTAGTTCCTGTTTGAACTTACAAGTGGTTATGTAAAATATGTAAAAAAAAAATGTAAAAATATGTAAAAAAAATGTTGACCATCCCTAATAATGAGGGAAATGCAGACCATAGCTATATGGAGATTTCATCTCACTCCAGTTAGAATGGCAATCATGAAGAACACAAAAACAAGAAAATGCTCATCAGCATGGGGTGGGGAAAGGTGCACTCATATGTTGTTGGTAGGACTTCAAATCAGTTCAGCCACACTGGAAAGCAGTAGAGAGAACCCTCAAAAAACTAGTAATGAAACCACCATAGGACCCAGTTACCCTGCTCCTAAGTATTTATCCAAAAGAACTAAAGTCTGCATATGATTGTAAAACAAGTATGTCAAGTTTTACAGCAGCACAATTCACAATAGCCAACTCATGGACCAAACCACATGCCATCAATAGATGAGTACGTAAGAAAATGTGGTGGATGTGCACAATGGAGTTCAACTCGGTCACAAAGAGGGGTGACACCATGTCATTCACTAGTAAAAGGTGAGAACTGGAGAAGATCCTGCTACGTGAAATCTGCCAGACTAGGAAAGTCAAATGTTTTCTCTCCTGAATTAGAGTGAAATTTTAAAAAGAGAGGGGGAAAGATTCCATGAAAATAGAAGAGAGTTTTGTGGAGCAGAGGGAGGGTGGGGAACAACAGAGACAAACAGTGCAGAGAAATTGACCAAATTACACTGTGAACCTATATGAATACACCACAGAGAGTTTCAATTTTACATATATCTAAAATGCACCAGTTGGAAAACCAAGAAATAAATAGAGGAAAATGAACAGGAGAGGGAGGAGGGTAGGGAAACGGGAAGGTATTTGAAATGAAGCAAATGATACCCCATGCTTGTTTAATGATGTCAAAATGAACCCATTGCTGTGCCTGACTCTACTGCACAACAAAAACATTTTTTGAAAAAGGAGACCAATGGCCTCCAAGTTAGAGTGTTGGTGTCCGGCGGGTCCCTTTTAAACTCACCTATTTTGTCATTTCTGCTTCTGAATGGGTCCCAGGTGAACTGTGACCAGCTTAGTCTCACCTCTCCTTTTCTTAGACCTTCCTTCTTACCTGACCCTGGATCCTTCCTGACATAAGGGAAAATTTCAGGGAAGACTACTCTGTGATCTAAATGCGTTGTGACATTGGGCAAGTTACTTAACTTCTCTGGGCTTTAGATTCCTCATCTATAAAATGGCAACAATCAGCTCTGTAACACCAGAGTTGTTCTGCGGATCAGAGCAGCACACTGATGTTCAAGAGCTGCACCTGTCACCTGACTCGCCAGCCATGCCCAGCAGAACCATTGCTTCTACTCTTAATTAGGTACTTAGTTTTTCTGAACTTTCCCTGTATGTGGGTCTGAATTAGAATGGCTTCTGCAGGAATCTCTGTTCCTTCAGGGGACTCTCTACCCAGGATAAGCAGATTCCTAGTGCAAACAGTTCCTAAAGTTGATCATTGCAGTTAATAGCAAAGACCCTGGGGCCACTCCAGGGTGGTCCTGGCTCCACCCTTAGTGGTTGTTTGAGGCTGGGCAAGTTAACTCACTTCTCTGCTCCCCATTTTCCTAACTTGTGAAATGGGAGTGACTCTCTAAAAGGATACATTGAAATAAGTCAATGTAACTCAGCAATTTAAAGCACTTCGGGTGCTCTCGGGGGTCAGCTGGAGTCACACTAATATCCAATTTCCAGGCAGCAGCCAGAGTGGCAGCCCTAGAGCACAGATCTGCCCTTGTGATACTTCTGCTCAACATCCCTCTGTAGCTCCCATCTCCCTTGAAGTTTCTGCTTCTTGGCACAGACCTTGCACTGGTTACCTGGCACTCACCATCTCTAGGCTTGTCACCAAGTTACAACACGGATGAACCTAGAGCTAAGCCAAATGACCAGACATGGAAGGATTTCTGCACAGTGTCACTGGCTGCAACTAAAATAAACCAATGGAAGCAGAGAGTAAATGTTGGTTTTTAGGGGCTGGCTTAGAAACTGGAGGAAATGCCATTAGCAGGTATAAGGTGTCAGTTATGCAAAACAAGTAGCTCCTGAGGTCCTCTTTGCAATGGAGCTCTTTATTGTGGAGCACCTGGAAACCTTCGTTAGGTGGCCCTGGCTGAAGGAAGGTCTTTGTGGGTCCCAGCAGGGGGCCAGGGCCTCGGGCTCTGCCTTGATGCCAGAGAGGCTTCTTCAGAGTCA